GGGAATGGAAACAGATTTGTAGTTTTCAAAGTAACCTGGACTTTTAGTCAAATTGGAAGTTAACAGGGCACTTCCTACTTTTGCCCCAAACACTGAGTGAACATCTAAAATGTCAGGACGTTCTAAATAGACACAAACATGTCTAAGGTGCACTGGAGTGGGGCAAGGGAATAACACAAGGTTCTTGCCTAAAAGCCCTTATGGTATGGAGATGGGAAGGAGTGCAAAGGGCAGAGGTGATAAACGGAGCTGACATGGCATCAGTGAGAGGTAAAATAAAGCAGGGTTAGGGCACAGGGTCTGACCACAGAGCTCATAAAGGAATCTAACAAGGAAGAGCTCTTTATTGAAGTGAGTTTGAGCAGAGGTAAATGAAGTGAGAGGAGCAGGCTGGCTCCCGCCATACGGGGATGCTCTCAGAGGGAGCAGCAAGTAGGAAAGGCACAGGCCTGGTTCTCACTTGGCTGGTCCTGAAACACAGACACTGCAGCTAGAGCCCAGCAAGCACGGGTGACAGCTCGGTGAGAAGAGCTGCAGGCCAGGACTCACAGAGAAGCCAGGGAGGAGTAACCAGGGGCTTCAAGCCAAGGGGTGACATCATCTGATGATGTTTTAAAAGAAATCTTCTAAATATGAGGGCTGGGTATGATATAGCTCAGGTAGGCACTTGGCCTAGCATGTAACAAGCTCTGAGTTCAAGCCCCTGTACGGGGGGTGAGGGGGGTACAGCGGCAGACTTGGTAGGAAGTAGCTGAATTTGGAATGTTTTCTAATAAAGGCTGCAGACTGCTGGTGCACCGAAGGAGCAGTATCAAGGAAAGCATCTTTTCTTTTTGTCTTTTTTGTCTTTTTGAGACAGGGTATCCTTGTAGCCCCAGGTATCCTGGAACTCACTATGTAGACCAGGCTGGCCTCGAACTCACAGAGATCTGCCTGCCTCTGCCTGGGATTAAATGTGTGCGCCACCACGCCCGGCTAAGGAATGTTATCTTAAAGAACGTTGGTTATAGCCAGGGTCTGTGATTTCAACCAATTTCTCCTAACAATGTTGGAATGTACATGTATAAAAGTACTAAAAACAAAGATTGTAAACTATGAAACAATCAGAAAAATGCACAGCAAACATCAGGCCAGCTGGATTACAACAAACAGCTGAAACAATGTGGGGAAACGAGAGAGTATTAAGAGCACAGAGATGGTAGGTGAGATGCTTAGTGGGTAAAGCACTAGCTGCCAAGCCTCACAATTTGATTAGAACCCTGGGACCCACATGGTGGAGCACTGACCCCGGCAAGTCATCCTCTGTCCTGCCTGTGCGCACCACCCCCCATACACACAAAATAAATAAGTATAAAAAGGATTCTTAAAAGTACAGAGAGGCCACGTTTTTAATCTCAGCACTTGGGAGGCAGAGGCAGGCGGATCTTTGTGAGTTCAAGGCCAGCCTGGTCTACATAGTTCCAGGACAGCTGGGGCTACAGGGAGACCCTGTCTCAAAAAGACCAAAAAAAAAAAAAGGTACAACTATACACATAAAGGTGCACATCAAGGTCCCAGACTGGAAAGAGATAATCTTTCAAATACCTACTTTCAGATGACATGGTCTTTGAAATAGAAAACTGTAAAGCATCCACTAAACAGCAACTAAAGTAACAAGTGAGGTCAGTGGTCTAAGGAAACAGATAACAAAATCAATGCTGTTTCTCCACATAGTGACGGACAACAAAAATAAAAACGTTAAATCAATTTACAATAGCATCAGAAGAACAAAACCAAGGGCTGAGATGTAGCTCAATTGTTAGTGCTCGCCTAACACATACGAGCACCTCATAAACCAGGCACCGTAGAACATGTCTGTAATCCCAGCACTTGGGAATGGAGGCAGGAAGATCAGGAATTCAAAGTCATCCTTGAATCTATGAGACCCTGTCTCAAAAAAAAGAGGAAGGGGGGGCAGCAAAAGGAAGAAAAAGCCATCTGCTGGTTATGGATCAGAAGGAATGTACAGACTCCCAAACCCATCTACAATGTCATCAGAATCCCTAACAAAAATCCCAGGGGTCCTCTTTGCACAAATTAGTTGACAAGCCGATACTGAAATTTACAAGGAAATGTAAAGGACCCTAAGATCCAAAACAATCTTGAAACAGGACATCTGAAGATTCTTACTTTCTGATTTTGAAACTTAGCATGACTATAAGACAAAGCCACCACTGAGCAAAGGACGAATTCTCGATTACTGAAATAGAAGTGAGAGTTTAGAAATAAACCTTTATATCACAGCAAACTGATTTTCTTCATTTGGTTTCAGGGTTTTCTTTTTCCTTCTTATTTTTGAGAGTATCTCACTATATAATTCAGGCTCAACTGCAACTTTCAATCCTCCTGCCTCAGCCTCCTGAGTGCTCGGACCACAGGGGCCATACCATCACACTTGACTCAGTCAACTGATTCCTAACAAACATGTCAGCAGTGTTCAGTTAGGGAAAGAGCAGCTTTTTCAACAATGGCCAGACACGTGAGCAAAGATAAAAGGTGGGCTCTTCTCTCCTACCAAACATAAAACAGTAAGTCCAGATGGATCAAAATCTTAGAGGTAGGAGCTAAAGCTATAAAAACTTTTAGGAGACCATGTTAAGTGACCTTATGTTAGGCAGAGAATAACCAAAGGGGTGGGGACCAGATTAACTGTACTTATCACAATTTTAAACTTTTTAAAAATATTTTATTTATAATTATTTTTTTTAAATGTTTATGAGTGTTATGCCTGTATGTAGGTAAGTGCACCCGTGTCGTGCAATGCCCGCAGAGGACAGAAGAGGCTGTTGGATCCCCTGGAACCAGAGTTGTTAGCCTTCATGTGGGTACTGGGATTCAAACCTGGGTCTTCTGCAAGAACAGTCAGTTCAACAAGATTAGTCATTAGTGAAATGCAATTTAAAATCTTAGTGATGCGGGGCATGGTGGCGCACGCCTTTAATCCTAGCACTTGGGAGGCAGAGGAAGGCGAATCTCTGTGAGTTCGAGGCCAGCCTGGTCTACATAGTGAGTTCCAGGCCAGCTGGGGCTACAGGGAGACCCTGTCTCAAAAAGAAAAAAAAAAAGAAAAAAAATAAAATAAAAGCTTAGTCAGACATTTTATATATACTGCCGTGCCAATAATCAGAACAAGATAACTGCAAGCCAGTGAAGATGCAGAGAACTGAGCCCTTGACCTGCAGTGCGCACACAGAGATGCAGCCCCTTGGAAACAACATGGCAGTTCCTCAAGTAGCTACACATAGTTAGTGGAGTTACCACTCGACCAGCAACACAATTCATAGGTACATGTCTGAAAGAATCAGAAAGACAAGTTCACATATTAACTTGAACTTAAATGTTCAAAACAGCCTCATTCATAAGAGCCAAAATACATAAATCCAAAACATCTGTATCCTGATGAATGGAAAAATAAAATGCATGTGTCTCTACAATGTGGTATTTAGCAATACAAAATAGTGAAGTCTCAGCACATGCAGCATGAATGAACTTTGGAAACATTGTACTAGGAAGAAGGCAGTCAAGAAAGTCTACATACTATATGAAATGACCAGAACAGTAAGCCTACAGTCAGGCAGAACCTGGGTGAGTAGCTGCCTGGAGCAGGGAGAGACATGGGAATGGCAGACACAAGGCAGACTACAGGCTTCTTTGGGGAATGGTGAAAATGTTTAAAAATTGATTAAGGTAATGGCTGCGTAACTATGAACAAATTAAAAGCCACAGGCCTTGAACTTGTGACCCTACTACCTCAGTGTCAAAGGTTTTGGGATTACAAACTGAGTCACCACATCCAGCAGAGTTATAATCAGAAGAACATGGAATGAGTGCTACATCTCAACAAAACCATTTTAAAAAGTACAAAGATAGGAAGCTGGAAAGATGGCTCAGTGGTTAAGAACACTGGCTGTTCTTATAGAGGACCTGGGTTTGATTCCCAGCACTCACATGCTGGTTAACAACCATCTGTAACTCCAGTTCCAGGAGATCTAACACCCTCTTCTGACCCCTGAGACTTTGCATGACAGGGATGCACTTACATACATGCAGGCAATATGCTCATACAAATAAAATTCAAAAATACTTTTTTTTTTAAAAAAGGTCCTTTTCTTGCTCAGGAGTCTTAAAATACTGAGTAACATTAGGTAACTTCAGTAGAGCAGTTAAAATTTTATAGGAAACATTAAAGAAAATCACAGTATAAAGCTTCCAAACTGGGAAATAGAGAAATAAAAGAATAAAGAAAATCCTGCTGGGTGTGGTGGCGTACGCCTTTAATCCCAGCACTCAGGAGGCAGAGGCAGAGGCAGAGGCAGGCAGATCTCTATGAGTTCAAGGCCAGACTCATCTACATAGCGAGTTCCAGGCCAGATGGTCTCAAAAAGGCCAAAAAATGTAATAAGAAAATCCTATCAACTGGAGGCAGTAAAGGAAGGAACTAGGAAAAAAAAATTTAGAAACCATAAAATGCTTAGAGCTGGACCATCAAGCTCTACATGACAAGATTTGTTATGAGTCTAAAGCGAGGCTCAGATGAGCTCCTGGCCTAAATGCATTAAAACTACAACCGAGATAAATGAAGCATTCAATTCAAGAAGCTAAATATAACAGGAAACGAACAAAAACAGGAGAACCACATTAAAGATAAATCTGAAATCATGAAACTAAAAGAACTAAGACAACAAAAGAAATCTATAGTGAGACAGAAAAAAAAATCTGAGCTCCCTCAGTAGAAGCACATGTACCAGCACGTTCACATCGAGACACTGAAATGGTACAGAATACCCAAGAGGGAAAAGTGGCAGAATGAGACACTCAGCATAAAATTTAAAAAACTAATAATGCCGTATGCTGTTGTGAATCCACATGGATGAAGGAGGCACCACAGCCTGGCAGCCAGAAAGAGGAGGCTGGGGGCCCTTACAGAGATGTTTCATCTCAAATAAGCAGTGCTAACTTACCTGGGTCAGGGTCACATTTCAGGTCCAAGGGATGTATAGCAGGGTGGTAGTGTTTCTAAACAACACAGAATATTTCATTACTTAATGTTTCAAACATTTCTTTCAGCTAAGGTAGGCAAATAAGCCATATAGCCAACAGTGCTACTCTTTAAGGATTGAAAAAAAAATTAGATCCTGAAACCTGTAGGGAGATTGGGTTAAGTCAAAACACCTTTTATAGTACTGCCACCTGCTGCACGCATGAGAAACAGCACCATAAAGAGTATACTGTGGCCAGGCTTGGTGGCACAAGCCTCTAATCCGGACCAGCACTCGGGAGGCAGAGGCAGGCGGATCTCTGTGAGTTCAAGGCCAGCCTGGTCTACATAGCAAGTTCCAGGCCAGCTGGGGCTACAGGGAGACCCTGTCTCAAAAAGACAGGGGAGAATCAAGCAAATTAAAGGTATAGTGGTAGAATTTTATGTTTAAATTGCCACTTATGTCTCACCATTTTGTCAGACAGCCACAGGATTTGTTAGGGTGTGGGCTTTCCAGCACAGTGGTGAATGGGGTAGTCGTCATTTTGGAACTGAGTGTGGAGACCAGACGCAGGATGGCCCACATCTCAAATAAGGCAAAGGAAAAAGCCTATGCAAGTTCGTGTCTTTGTGCACATGCATATAATATCTGAAGACGCCAGAGAGGATGTTAGGTCCCCTGGAGCTGGAGTTACGGGCAGTTGTGAGCTCCCTGGCATGGGTCTTCTACAAGAGCAGTATGCACTCTCAACCACTGAGCCATCTCTCTAGCCCCTGCTCTTTATTCTGTTCCATTGATCTGTCTGTCCTTATGCTGTGCCACTACCCTGACTTAGTTACTGAGGCTTTATAAGTTTGTTTTCTGTAGAACAACCCCTTTTCTCTGGTTCTCTGCTAAGAATGTTTTGGCTGTCTCACGGGCCTTTTTTTATTTTCAAATAAATTCTAGAAGCATCTTGTTATTAGAAAAAAAAAACACAAAAACCTGCCACTTGTGAATAGAAGTTCATTTAGGACAAGTGCAAAGAACTCAAAACTGGTATTTCTTCAGAAACTGTTCTAAAAAGTGGCTGGATAACCTCATTAGCTCCTGAACATCATACATCTTGCGGTACACAGGAACAACTTGGACAGCCCACAATTCAGGCAGAGGAAAAGGAAAATGTTCTTCACACTTGCTCAATGCTAATAGATGCCAACAGAGGAGAGGAGGAAGGGGAGGAGGGGGAGGGGCAGGGGGAGGGGGAGGAAGAAAAACTCTTCTGTCTCCTCTCCACCATCTTACTTTACTTTTTGAACTAGCAGTGGTACAACAAACACGCGGCCCTGCCAACTTTCTTTAACACCGATTACTAGTGGGTTTGTTTGTTTTTGAGACCAGCTCTCCCTGTACCCCCAGCTAGCCTGAAACTTACTATGTAGCCCAGGCTGGCCTGAATCTCACAAAGATCTGCCTGCCTGCCTCTGCCTCCCAAGTGCTGGGATTAAAGGTGTGCTACTGATTACTAGTGTTCAGGGCTTTTCTTTGTAGCAGGTCAGGGAGGTAAGGAGAGAGACAAAATAAACATACTACAAGCATTTTTTTCCTGAAGATTTTAGTAGTGGGTTTGGGGGGGGTTCTTTAAGGACTAACTGCCGTGAGAAAAATGAAACATTCTTGTTCATTTTTTTCTTACTATGACATCTAGAATGTTTGAGATAAAATACAGGCCTTCAGTGCCCTAAGCATCCCTGAAGGGGGCCAACTAGAAGATTTACATTTGAAAAGTGCTGATTTCAAAAATGAAGACAAACAGGAAGGCATGCTCTAAAAGCTACATGTGGCTGTTCCTCCAAGAGTGCCACCCCAGCAAACTTCCTCAACATCCCCAGGAAGATGTGGGTCTAACCTGCCCTGGGCTTCCTGTTCTGCACTTACTCCCACCTTAATAGACCTGAGAAGATGGGCATGTGACCGACACCTATGGCTCTGCCTGTCTAAAAAGCTCAGTCAGCTAGGCATTGTGATACCGGCCTATAATCCCAGCACTTAGGAAATTGTGGTCTGAAGATAAGGAGTCCAAGGCCATCCCCAGCTTTATGAGAGTTCAAGGTCAGCCTAGGCAACACCAGACCCTGTCTTAAGCCAAACACCAGTAAGTAAGTAAACCAAAGTTCAACCTGACTGAAGTGACTTCTTGATTGCAACCCAGATGGTTGTGATCTTTAAAGCAAAACAAATTATAAACAATTTAAAAGGCAAATTTCAGTGTTACAGGTACTTAACAAGTTTCTACATTAACCAAAAGATTGGCCAAAATATATAGACATACACAATACTGTGCCAAACACAAATGAGAAACAGAAAGAAAGGGGTTGGAGATGAAATTCCTTTCCTGGTCGTAGAAACATAGTCATCATCTCTAATTTCTGTTTACTGTCAGCTGGTTGTCCCACACTTAGTAAGACAGAGACAAACAGTGCTAATTGCGGTGGGGCAAAGACAACAAAATGCCATCCATTTCCACGTGGTTCTTATACTTCAGTGTTTTCACTCTGGTAAAATGCACTCTATAACGACTTAAATGTAAGACACCTTACCAGGGTTTCATGCTGTGCTTTCAGGGTCCTGATGATGCACTCGAGGATCTTTCTGGGATGCTGCTTCCGTTTTCTTGCTAAATCTACTATGATTTCATCAAATTGATCTTCAAACACTTTGATGTCAGAATCTGTTTCGGGGGAAAAGAAGGCCTTACAACTCGGTGCTCATATTAGTAAGGAAATGTGATGTAAACTACAGTTAACAAAATAAAGCAAACATGGGAAGTTTATAGGTCCCTCAGTTTGAAGAGCAACTCGTTTCTGCACTGAACAATCAGTTACTGACCATCTTTGGGCAATGCACAGGTGAGTGCCACATGATCAAGAACCAGGCAACCTCAGCTTGAGAAAAGCAGCACCATGTAGATGAGATACACCGTGCGCTGGGCGCTGCGAGTGGGACTTAAAAAGACTGAAAAGGAAGTAACATTTGAGCTGAAACCTAGGTGTAAATCACTGGAGAAAAAAGGACATGGGAAAATTAACAGGGAAAGGCATTTTTAGCAGAGGACACTGTAAGATCAGAGTCTTTGGGGAACAGGAAAGTTCTAAATGGCTGTAGGATGAACTACAGGAAAAGATATAGTGAGAGCTAGAGTCAGGCATAGCTCAGTGTACATGAGCTTAGAAAAAGAGGGCCCTGGGTTCATGACCACCTCCCCCCGCCCCGGAATAATTAAACTATCAAACGCCTTTCCTCCCAGGGATGCTAACAAGCTTTCACTATATTTTGTGTTACACCCCAGCTGTGGCAGCAGCAGTGGGCAGAATGCCTGCATGTGAATGTGACTGCCACACAGGTGGCACAGGTGGCAGGAAGTCAGGAAAGGTACGGGGACTCACAAGTGTTTCTCGTTTAGCTAATGTTTTTATCAGATGCTTTCCTCTGCTGTACAACAGTGACGAAATTTAGACGAAGGAATGATTACCTGGGGAGACTGTTAGGGGACATAGGTTTGAACTCAGAAGAAATAGACATAGATGATCCATTCAGCCTCATTCTGAAATCATTTCAGAGTGAAAACACCAGGCTCAGCGGTTAAGAGCATCTGCCCAGCATACAGAAGACACTGTGTTCAATCTCCACTACTGCCAGAAATGAAAAGTCAAAAATACAAAGTGGTCACGAATACTGCAGGCCCGCGGCTACCTGGCTCAGTGTGAGTCGGGCTGTGCCAGTCTACACTAGAATGGGTTGACTTATGTTATGTGTCCACCAGGGAAAACTGGATGCACTTCTGCACTCAAGGACCCGGCCGCAGGAACCTGCCTGGCCACACTTCCCGTAGTCAAGTCCACTCAGGGCAGTCGCAGCGCAGGAGGAGACCTTTTCTCTTGTATTCGCGTTTTTTGTTTGTTCGTTTTCCCCTTTATGTTTTGTTTCAAACGTCCTTCCTCTTTCCTGCCCAGCACCTCAATATGAAGTGCATTTTACATAGCAACCTGTTCGCCTCACACTTCCCAAACTTCCAAGTGGTTTCTCACCCAAATCCTTCCAGGACTCATGAGCTCTAAACATGAAGGGCCATGCCGTCTCACTGACTGTGCAGCACTGGCCCAGGGCCGAGCATTCAACAAGGCAGGTTTGTCCTATCGCCAACATCTCTCCTCACAGTTGTTAGGGGAAAGGAGACAAAGAACAGCCAGGCTTTCCCAAGGTGACAAACCTCCTGGAAAAAGCTTTTTATCTCTTTTTTTCTTTTAATTTTTTAAAATTTATTTTATGTGTTAAGTGTATTGCCTGCATGTATGTACGTGCATCAGTGTTGTGCAATGTCCACAGAGGACAGAAGAGGATGTCGGATTCCCTAGAACTGTAGCTAGAGACAGTTTTTAGCTGCCATGTGGGTACAGGATTTGAACCCAAGTCTGCTGCAAGAGCAGCCAGTGCTCTTAACGACTGAGCCATCTCTCCAGCCCCACCTGAAGTCTTTAGTCTTATATCAAAATAGTTTCTTCAGTAAACTGAGTGTTTGAACCTCAGTATTACAGTGAGTGTTGAAAGGTGTTAGTGGTGAGGGGAACACGTAACAGAAATGACTCCCCAGTTTTACTGAATATGAAACCTCAGGGGACGAGTAGATCCTTGAGGAGTGCCCCTCAAACACTGTTTCACAGTCTTTTTTTCCGACTCTTGTTCTTGAAGTCACTTTGGAATTCCCTTTTGGTTGGGATCCAGACTGCTGATAGTTACACATTTCAGTAATTTATAGATTAAGAAATGCATTTTCAGATGGGCGTGGTGGTATATGGCTTTAATCCCAGCACTCAGTAGGCAGAGGCAGGTGGATCTCTGTGAGTTCAAGGCCAGCCTGGTCTACATAGTGAGTTCCAGGACAGCTGGGGCTACAGGGAGACCCTGCGTAAAAAAGACCAAAAAAAAAAAAAAAAAGAGTAAGAGTCAGGGCTAGAGACTGCTCAGCAGTTAAAAGGACTGGCTACTCTTGCAGAGAGCCTGGATTTGGTTCCTAGCACCTACATGGCATCTGTAACTCCAGTTCCAAGGGATCTGATGACTTCTGGACTTCACGGGCACTGCACCACCGAGTACACATGCAGGCAAAACACTCATACACATAAAATAAAATTTTAAAAACCTGTAAGACCTAATTTATGTCTTTATAAAAAAGAACAAGAGTCAGATAAAAAGCCAGTGAAAAGCCTGGGACCTGAGTTGGATCCCCAGAGCCCATATGGTAGAAGGAGAGAACCAACTCCTACAGATTGTGCTCATGTATGCCATGGCACAGGTATGCACACAAACACACAGAGATAAATAAAATCCATATTAAGAAAGACACTGTAAATGGGAATTACAAAACATCATTCAAAATAAAGTTAGTAACTAACTCAGAAATTAATGAGAGCAAGGACAGTTAAGACACATACCAATAAAGCAACTGTCTGAAGCTTCCTGCCAGGCTTGTCCGTTAATGCTGACATTCTCTTGCACAGCTGATTCAAAAGTCTGCAATAAATTTACATTAGCCAACTCATCAAAACAATTTTAAATACTGAATTCAAACATAATAATAATGGAATCTCTATGGAATTGAATGTTCATTTCTGAAATACTAGAAATAATGAAAATTTAAGGGGAAAAAATAGAATCCAAGTTCACTATTATGAGAATGGCTAAGTATCCACACCATGTAGCGCTTCTGATGACCACACATGAGCTTTACATAACTGTGACAAGTAACAAAGACATATTCAGGTAAAAATATTACATGACAGTATAAACAAGCAAACAAAAACAGAATGAGGTAAAGTCACAGAGGGGTGTAGAAAGCTTACTCTGTCAAGCAACCTCCCAAAGAGTCAATTTCAGAAAATTGTCAAGGCAGATGGGAAAGTCAAAGACTTGTTTTATGCTAGTGAGTTTTCTTGTTTAAAAAATATTTTATTGCCAGGCGTGGTGGCACATACCTTTAATCCCAGCACTTGGGAGGCAGAGGCAGGTGGATCTCTGTGAATTCAAGGCCAGCCTGGTCTATACATAGTGAGTTCCAGGACAGCTGGGGCTGTAGGGAGACCCTGTCTCAAAAAGACACCCCCCTCAAAAAATTTTTTATTATTTTATTTTGTGTGTATGAGTGTCTTATCTGCATGTATGTGAATGCACCCATGTCATGCAATGCTGTGGAAGTCAGAAGAAGGGATCTGATTGCCTTGGAACTGGAGTTAAGGATGTTTTGCAGCCATCATGTGGGTGCTGGGAATCGAACCCAGATTCTCTGCAAGAGCAGTCAGTGCTGTTAACCGCTGAGCCATCTCTCCAGCCCATTTGAAATTTCTTAAAGGTGCATTTATCTTGTACCACGTGTATAATTAAAAATAAGCATAAGTCAAGTGACTGATAACTATGAATTATAGTACATAGTCTACGCTAAGATTTTATAGAAAGGGTAGAACAGCTAAGTGGCACAGCGCTTTCCTGCAGGAGTGCAATTTTGTATTCAGATGCCAGCACTGAAGGGGGAAAATGTGTAAGACTCCTACTATGCATGGAATCCCAGGGATTGAGAATAAAAATTGTCTTTAAAATATTCAATGCACTTTCACCGAAGCGATCTTTTCAGAATATATGCTTCTACATCATGCAACTTTGGGTAGAGGTATATCAACATACTTAAAGCTTCTCTACAAACCTTTACTTGTAACTCACTTTAAGAGCTCATCAAATGGGATGTGAGCGGCTAAATCACATTCTTTTTCTGTCCGTAATTTCTAAAGCATTTTCTACAGTCACTCAGTTACAGTCGTTTCCCAAAATAACTGCCAACAGTGTTAAGTGATTGTTGATCTTGCCTTCCTTGCAAGGAGGGAAACGCTTAAGGGCTAGGATAGCTAAGTGGTACAGCACTTTCCTGGGAGGAGCAGCAAGGCAGAATACAAAACTAGGACCCGAAGGGGCTTCGCTCACTTAACCTTCCTCTCATCATACACGCTAAGCAGGCGTTCCTATCCGTAAGCTATATCCCCAGCCCCTCCCCACTTTTGTTTTCTCGGAGCTTTCATTTCTATCCAGTTACAAATGCGCTGCATTATAAGCCTGAAACTTTTCCTCGTAAAGACTGTGTAACTCCTTATGACAAGGAGCGGTTCAACTTTTTGTGTCTTGTCCCACAAACCATCACCTTCAGAGCTTTGCAAAATATTTGAAAGGGGAAGCGTTCTAAGGGGTTATGTGTCATCCTAATGACGTTTACAATCAAGACAGCTTTTCAAAACATCCGTTTTAGAGTTATAAAGAAAATGTATTCGGTCAATTCACAAGATGTTCTAAAACAGGCAAAAGCAGACACTCTCGAATTGGCCAGAGGTCTGACTTCCAGGATTCCTGTTTCCTGTGGAATTCCCCACACAGAAGTAAGCCTGAGCTGTTGACACGGGAGCCACTTTGTGGTTATGGGGCACTTTTTAACCAGAACTAGGACCAAAGGTAATTGGCAACCACAAGCCTCCAAATCTGAAAGCTGTTTGAAAAGCAAAAAGTTAAGCGCCTCATTACGCAGATCCTGCTGCTGTACATGCTAATGTAAAAGGCTGAACCAACTGCGCCTGCTTCCTTTCCAGGCTCCATAGGCCGCTCTGCTGTCGAGGGTAGTCAACACATGGGGTGAGGGTGGCGCGGGCCCCCCCGGGGGGGGGGGCGCCTGGCTGTCCCTACCCACTGCGCGTCCCGCAGCGCGAACTCGCGGATCTCCTCCGGCAGCGCGTCCCCGAGCTCCCGCACGAAGCGGCCGCACAGCTCCACCACTTCCGTCACGGCCCTCTTGGAGGTGCAGCGCACTCGGAAGTCCTTCAGGGGAGAGGCAGCCGCCGAGGTCTGGTACTCTAAGGCCGCACCGGCCTCCTGGCTCTGTGGGGCGGCGACAGCCACCGCTTCGGGAGCCCCCGCCATCTTCCCGGTTTGAAATGTAGGCGGGAGAGGCCGAGACCGGAAGAGGGTTCCCACGGTGGAAAGCACTTGCACGCGTCCGGCCGGAAAGTCGAGCGGACGCTGCCATAGGGTTCCGCTCCGGCCCCCGCGGCCAGGGAAGAAGCTAGAGCGGCTGTGGGTGCGATGGGCCCCGGGCTGGTGGATTGCCACTGCCACCTCTCTGCCCCCGACTTTGCCGGCGTAAGTGGGGGCGACGCGGGCTTGCGGCCGTGGGGGCGGAGTGTTTCCTGAAGAATACGTTTCCTCTCCGGGTTAGAAGCTGCCCCTAGGCCCCAGGCTCCTCCAGGGCCCTTTGCGCCTGCGCGCTTTCCCACCGCATCTGGCGCTCTGACACTTTCTGCCAACTGACAGCCGTAAACGATCTCCACGAAGCTTGTGTTTCAATCCAGCCCCAAGCAGAGGGCTCAGTCCTGGTGGGGGTGAGGAACCAACAAAAAGAATAACGCGAGATTGAAGAGTAGAGGGAGAGAGATAGGTTTGGCGGGCGGGTGGGGGGCTGGAGACAGGATCTTACTATGTAACCCCACCTGGCCTGGAACTATGTATGTTCGAGGCTGGCCTCGAACTCAGAGATCCGCCTGCTTCTGCCTCCTGAATGCTGGCATTAAAGGCCTGTACCGCCACGCCCACCCTGAAAAATGAGTTTTTACCTGCTTTGTTGGGAAGACTGATGGTGGAGGAGGCACAGGTGTCTGTTTCAAGGAGAGAATTTCTTAGATGATGCTTAAGGGTGGGAAGACAGCCAGAGAATAAGGGGGTGACTGTACTGTGATGAGGAACACCAGCCGGTTATAGGCCTCATACAGGATAGAATTTGGCCCATTCCAGTTACCAAAGGCTCAAAGTGCCTAGTAAAAGAAATAATTTTAAGCCGGGCAGTGATAGCCCACGCCCTTAATCTCAGCACTCTGGAGGCAGAGGCAGGCGGATCTCTGTGAGTTCAAGGCCAGCCTGGTCTCCATAGCGAATCCTGGCCAGCTGGGGCTACAGGGAGACCCTGTCTCAAAAAAAAATTTTTTTTTTTCTTTAAAATTTTAAAGGACTGGGGAGGTTTGCAGGGGATGGGTGAGATAGGTGCTGGCTCACAGTGCCATTCTTTTTTGTTTTCTTTTGTGGTTTTGTTTCTTTTGTTTGTTTGTTTTTTGAGACAGGGTTTCTCTGTAGCCCCAGTTATAATGTTCTATGTAGACCAGGTTAGCCTGGATCTCACAGAGATCTGCTGCCTCAACTACCCAAGGAATATGCCTTGATTAAAGGAATATGCCACAATGCTCCACCTAGAGGACATTCTTTATGGTGCTTCAACTGCACTGATAACACACAGTCCAAGAGTGTTACTTAGGCATCAAGAGTAAGTGTAATTACTTGTTTATTGCAGGATCTGGATGATGTGTTGGAGAAAGCCAAGAAGGTAATATCCGTAATTGCCTCCTTTTTTGTTTTTTCCTCCTATTTTAGCCTGGCATGCAGTTGTTTGGGTTCTGTTTAGACACACTGTGTTGATGTTGCTTCAGCAGTTAGTATTAAGTAGCATTTGTGTGCTGTGTGCCAGCCATAGAGCTAAGCCCTTTCTTAACTTCATCTCATTTAAAGTTTCAAAACCTTCTGAGGAAGTTACTCCTTCATAGTCAAGCAGTCTCCATTTGATAGATGGGAAACTGAGACCAAGAGATTAGTAACTAGGCCCAAAGCTCATGGCAGTGAAGTAACAGAGACAAGTTAGTCTGATTTCAAAACACGTTCCCATAACCAGCATGCTCGGCAGCACTATGGTATGGGTTGGCCAATCAATTACCACTTTTGGTTTTTTAAGACAGGGTCTACCTTAACCCTAGCTAGCCTGGAACTCACTATGTAGACCAGGCTGGCCTCAATCTCAGAGAGATTCTCCTGCCTCTGCCTCCCAAGCACGTTGGGATTAAAGGTGTGTGCCACCATGCTTGGCTTAATCTGACACCTCTTAAATTCACATTGTTTTGGAGGCCTGGGATATATTACAAAGTTCTTCTGAAATATTTTTATTTGTTAGAAAAAAATTATCAAGGGCTGGCAAGATGGCTCAGTGGTTAAAAGTACTTACTATGCAGTCCTGACAACCCAAGAACCCACAGTGGAAGGAGAGGATTAACTCCTGAATATTGTCCTCCAGCCTCCACAAGTGCACCATGGCATGCGTCTACCTGCACACATACACACGTGTACCCCTTTCTCTCACTCATACATACATACAAATGCTAAAATAAAAAGTTTATAAAAAGAAAATTGTCAAATCTTTGAAATATTTATTAAATGAATTGCAGCTTGCATATTTTTAAGCAAGTAACAGAAAGTGCCAGGGGCTAGAAATGGTTATCCATGTCATGTGGCAACTTGATATTGATAGACCACTTGGGCTTTGGAATCACATGGGCCTAAGGACTTTGGCTCCTTTTTTTTTTTTTGAGACAGGGTCTCCTGTAGCCCCAGCTGGCCTGGAACTCACTATGTAGACCAGGCTGGCCTGGAACTCACAGATATCCACCTGCCTCTGCCTCTAGAGTGATGGGACTAAAGGTGTGCGCCACCACACCCAGCAGACCTTGGCTCCTTCTAAAACTCTGTCTTTATACAGGAAATTACAGCAACACCCACCTTTGGTCTGTGTAGATTAATGAGGTAATGTTTATACACATGGACCATGGGCCTGATATATAATAAGTACTCAGTGGTAGCCATTTTGATGATATCACTGGAACCTGGCTAAAGAAGAAGGATAAAGTGCACAGAAAACTTTTAAAGCCTTTGACTTGGCTAGGCATGGTGACACATGCCTTTAATCCCAGCACTTGGAAGGCAGAGGCAGGCAGATCTCTATAAAATCCAGGCCAACCTGGCCTACATAGCAAGTTCCAGGCCAGGGCTACAGAGAAACCCTGTCTCAAAAAACAACCACCACAAAATCTATGAGTTGGACGGGGAAAGTGCATATGCTCAAAATGTATTTTATATATATATATATATATATAAAACATAAGTTAAAATATCCTACGAAAACCTTAGAATTGCACTTATCTATGTTGAGTACATATTGTCTGATGTTCTTTTTCTTTTGTCTTTTTCAGACAGGGTCTCCCTGTAGCCCCAGCTGACCTGGAACTTGCTATGTAGACCAGGGTGGTCTTGAACTCACAGAGATCCACCTGCCTCTGCCTCCCAAGTGCTGGGATTAAAGGCGTGCCCCACCATGCCCAGCCATTTCTTAACTCAAGTCCTCAGGTTTGCAGAGCAAGTGCCTTTACCCACTGAGCCATCTTGCTGACTCTCAGCCCCCTGATACTTATTACCTGCTATTTAAACTTGAAACATGGAGTTGGGAAAGTGCATGCTCAAAATGTATTTTATATATATATATATATATATAAAACATAAGTTAAAATATCCTACGAAAACCTTAGAATTGCACTTATCTATGTTGAGTACATATTGTCTGATGTTCTTTTTCTTTTGTCTTTTTCAGACAGGGTCTCCCTGTAGCCCCAGCTGACCTGGAACTTGCTATGTAGACCAGGGTGGTCTTGAACTCACAGAGAGCCACCTGCCTCTGCCTCCCAAGTGCTAGGACTAAAGGCGTGCGCCACCACGCCCAGCTCTGTCTGATGTTCTTACCTGTGTTGAGTGCATAGTGTCTGATGTTCTTATTTCTCAGGCCAACATTATAGCCCTTGTGGCAGTTGCTGAGCATCCAGGAGAATTTGAAAGGATTATGCAGCTTTCAGAAAGGTACATCTTGTTTTCCTTCTTTTGGTGTGTGGTGTGTGTATATGTGCATGCACATGTATGGGTGAACATGTGGAGGTGTGACGTTGATGGGATCCAATGGCTTCTGTGATTGCTCTCCACTTTATTTATTGAGGCCAGGTCCCTGACTTACCTGGGTGCTTACCAAGTCTGGCTAGTCTAGCTGGCCAACTTGTTCAGGGATACCCAGGGCTGGACTAGAGGTCACCACCATGCCTGCCTGACTGGGACCTGAATGCTGATCCTCTTGCTTGAGCTTTACCTGCTGAGCCATCTCCCCAGCCCAGGTGCTACTTCTAATTAAGACTTTTGTTTTAGGGGCTGGAGAGATGGCTCAGCGGTTAAGAGCACTGGCTGCTCTTGCAGAGGTCCTGGATTTGATTCCCAACACCCACATAGAGGCAAACACTTGTCTAAAACTCCAATGTAGGGGATCCAACGCCCTCTTTCTGGCCTCCACAGGCCTTGTACAACATGGGTGCATTTACATACATGCAGGCAAAACACTCATACACATAAAATGTAAATTAATAAATAAAAATTTTAAGACCGAAAAATTAAAAAAGTTTTTTTTGTTTTATGTTGCTGAGGCTAGTCTTGAACTCATGGACTCAAGCAGTCCTCCCACCATAGAATTCTTCGTTCTGAGACTACAGGCATGCTCTACTATGCTGGCTCTGATTAAAGTTTTAGAGTTGTGAGAAAGGACACCATTATGATGTCAGATTTATAATATCAGGAACTTTCTAAGGAGGAAAATGTGTATTAATATTGCCTTGGAAAAGTACTATTTTCAACCTGTTCTTTAGAGCGACACCATCTGCTAGCCCTACTGTTCTTGCTTTTTTAATTTGTTCTACATTTTCAGGTATGCTGGGTTCATCCTGCCATGTTTGGGTGTTCACCCAATTCAAGGACTTTCACCAGAAAACCAAAGAAGTGTGACATTAAAGGTAACAGTCGTGTAAAATAAGAACCATAAAAATCTTTTCTGTGTATGAGTGTATTGACTGCATGTGTGTAGGTACACCCATGTTGTGCAGTGCCCACAGAAGTCAGAAGAGGGCATTGGATCCCGTGGAACTGGAATTATGGATGGCTGTTAGCCACCATGTGGGTGCTGGGAATCGAACCCAGGTCCCATGCAAGAGTAGTGTTACATAGATTTTGTTCTCTAACTGGCAAGCTAGCCTACTTCCCAAGTTTGGTTGCACCTGCTTGCCTAGGATTATAAACTTGACTGTGGACCTTCCACAAGAAAAGGAGGATCAGGAAGAGTCAGTCACCCCCCCACACACCCAGTTAGTCGGCCCCAGCTGCATGAGAGGGAGAGACTAATGGTATATAAGTGAAAGATGCCAGGAGGTGCATGCTCTCACCATTTTGTACGGCTGCTGGAATGTCATGATATGGAGATTTCCAGTGTGGCCTTGGGGTGGAGGAAGCCCCCACACTCCTGTAAGTAACCATCTCCCGCTGCTTTGTAAGTAACCCCAATAAACTCTTTAGTTTCCCAAACTGTAGTTTGGAGAAATTATACCTTAATTTGTCAGAAAGATTGTGGGAAGAGGGGACCGGACAGCTTTTGTACCTCCCAGAAGGAATTTTAGCAACAAGTAGCCAGTGCTCTTAACCGCTGAATTATCTCACCAGTGCGAGAACCATAAAAATCTTAATAGAAAAGCTGGGCATAGTGGTATGCACCTTTAATCCCAGCACTCAGGAGTCAGAGGCAGGTGGATCAAGCCTGATCTACTTAGCAAGTTCTAGGCTAGCTGGGGCTACAGGGAGACCCTCTCTCAAAAAGACAATAACTTTTGATTCCAGAACCCTCCCCTTTCTAAATTATATTCTTTGTACTATAGGGGATGGAAATATTGGAAACCGAACCTAGACCCTTACACATATTAGACAAACATTCTACCACTGAGCTATAACCCCACCCACATTTTTAAAAAAATATGTTTTATTCCACTTTGTGTGTGTGTGTGTGTGTGTGTGTGTGTGTGTGTGTGTGTGTGTGTATGTATGTATGTTTGTAGGCATAGTGCATGTGGAGGTCAGAGAACAACTTTGGGAGGATCTGTTCTCTCTTCCACCTCTGGGTCTCAGAGGTTGAACTCAGGTCCTCAGGCTTGGTGGGAGGCACTTTTACCCTCTAAGTCATCCTGCTGTCCCCCCAGCCCACTTTTTTATTTTGAGATAGGTTCTCACTGTATTGCCCAAACTGGCCTTGAACGCATTCTGTAGTCCAGGCGGGCCTTGAACTCATGATCCCCTTTCTCAGCCTCCCCAGTTGCTGGAATTGCAGGCCTGTGCTGCTGAGCCCAGCTTTTAATTTATATCTTAAATGAATAATCCAAAAGAAAGAAACACTGCCTCCTACAGAGTGTTGCAGTGTTATTTGTAATAGAGAAAATGGAGGCTGGAGTTCAGAACTAAAGCAATCATTAGTTAACTTGCAAAGTGTTCATATATTATGCATTTATAGAAAACGAGGATTATAAAGTTGTATGGCAAACAGAAAATGTTTATGGCATAGGGAGAAAAAACAGATATCAAATAGTTTATGGACTCAGTAATATCCGTGTAACACTATATTCTCGGGCTGGAGAGAATGCTCAGCGGTTAAGAGCCCTGGCTACTCCTGCAGAGGACCTGGGTTCAGTTCCCAGCACCCACATGGCAGCTAACCGTCCATCCATAACTGCAGTTCCAGGGAATCCAGTGACCTCTCTGTCCTCCGCAGGCATTGCATGCAAGTGGTGTACCCACATACACACAGACAAAACACTCATATACATCAAATAAAATTTTTTTAAATATTTTATTATTTTTATTTTATTTTATGTGTATGAGTGTATTGCCTACATGTTTGTGAGTGCACCCATGCCATGCAGTGCCGTGGAGGTCAGAAGAGGGCTTCGGATTCCCCTGGAACTGGAG